TTTTTGTTGTTGGTTGTTTTGTTTTGTTTTGTTTTGTTTTCTGTAAATCTTATTTGTCATTGCCTCTTCATTTTATTTACTCTCTTAACTGTAGCTGTTCAGCTCTTTTGATTCCAAAGGATGTTACAAACACAATTTTCCTTTATTATACTCTTCTAAAGCCTTTTAGTATAAGTCTTCATAAAACCTCACATATGTGCATTATAAAATTACAGGGAATAAGTTCCATATGAAAAATTCATCATATTCCTTCTTACTATTATTTAGCAGAGATTCTGACATAAAGCATGAGAGCAACAGACATTGTTTTAATTCTTCATTGTGGAAGGAAAAAAAAAAAAGTTTTTTTGGTTTGGGTTGAGAAAGAATTTTTTACATTCTCCCTCTTTGCAGTCTTTCCCTTGCAAAACCAAAAAAGGATTTTAAACGGACAAAAAGTAACCACAATTATATGGAGTGTGTCATTGATAAATTCCAGGGGAATATAACAAGCTAGGTAGGCACATACCATTAGATCTAGCTGTTCAAAATGTTAAAATTCTAGCCAAGATTATGCTGGAATATTTGGCCACATCAGCCCTCAGGACTGCACTTAACTTTTAAAAGACTTGATCTCACTCTAGATTTAGACTTTAGGAAAGTACTTCTTTCAAGAGAGCATTTACACAGCAGTCTGTCTTTAAACACATGCTTAAATCCCTTGAAGTCACTAAATACAGATTAACTGTGAACAGGCGCAAGTCTTTCATTTCATGACAGCCTTAGTTTTGTATAATTTTCAGTTAATCCTAGGCTTTCTGTTTCCAGTGCATGTAGTCTTTAGTTATGCTGACGCAAGATGAGATCAGACTCAGGGCTGCAGTGTCTTCAGGAGTTTTGGAAGGAGACGTTCCAGGAAAATGGGTATCTTCCCTCCTCCTCCTTCTCCTCTCAGAAAGAAAATAAATAACAAAACAACAACAAGGAAAAGAGCATATCATCGGAGTGTGCTCAGTTGTTACAGGAATTTTTAGTCTCTTTTCTCTTGCATAACATCTGCTTCCTGCAAGGCTCCTGATTCACTGACCAACTAGATTGGAAACAGTTTAATTCTGGATATTTGTTTAGCTTTTAAACTGACCACATCAAAAGACAAAGCTCACACGACTCTTCTTTGTGTTTACAGTAACACAGGAAGAAAAAAAAAGAATGTTCAAAAGGGATATGTGTTACTGAAAGCTGAGCAATATACAGTGTGGCATTCAAGCAGTGCAGAATGTCCTCACAAGTTACAGGTCCCCATGTATGCAGAAGATCCACAGCACAAATTTATCCTTAGCCGTATATACCCCAAACTGTTTAGGAATCTACCTGCAAATTTAGGTTGCAGATAAATGTCTGTAATGCAGTGTGCTTGGTCTGTGCAGTGAAGCTGACTATTCAGTAAACTGTTAGGTACCAGAAGAGCTCTGAACCTTAATCACATTTTCCAGTTATGCTGTAGGGAAGTGCAATGATTTGGTTAAGGTCAATATAATGTTCTAGGCTTTAATACCACACCCATCACACTGATAGTCAAATTGAGTCTATGATTCAACCCAGATGGGAATCCAGGTTCTTCTTGGCTTACTGTTATCTGTTCTGCTCATTAGGCTATATGACTTCCATAAATTATTTTGGAGTTCCCGTTAAAAGAAAATAAATCCACATGATGCTAAATGCTGCCTCCCAGCTGTAACACAAACTGGAATTTTGGACAACAGTACTGCTCTCTGACTCATCCTGGATCCCCTCCATGTGACGTTGAATCCATCTAAACTGGGGAGAGTAGAAGAGAAGGGCTTTTTTTTTTTTTTCTCCTTTTTTTTTTTTATCACCCACTGTCAGATAACACATGGATATTCACTCAGCATGCCTCTAAGATGTGAAAAATAACATATAAACAGATATGTTATATAAACATAAAACAAATAACAATACCAGAGAGGTGTCTTTCTGAGTACAGAGGGATAGAGAGGGGAAAATAAAAAGGCTAAAAATTTACATAGGGATGATTTAAGCACTGACTCATTGCCATTGTTTAGTTTATAAAATACATGAAATCCAGACAGAATATTAGGGTGGGGGGGAAATTGTGTTAAGCACGACAGAAACACAGTAGTATAAAAAAGATGAAAATAGCACATCCATAGAGCAAAAATTTGTTTCACTCATAGTTTAAATACAGTCACCACACTGTATGTCTCTCAGACATGGCTTTGCTCTGAACTTCTCTGTTGCTTATTTGCAGTTGGAAGAAGTCCAGAAAACAAGGAAAACAAACATATCACGCAGTTTACCGCATCTATTTGATTTAATAACACTCAGCATGCCCCTTAAGCATTTTCCCCATGTTAAAAAGACAATGGGCCAAATATAGCTCTGGCTGTCCCGCAGCCTGCCTTGCCAGGAGAGAGCGGTGGGAAATCCTGCGTAACCGGCACCGAAGGATTCCCTCATGTAGGAAACCTCAAAGACTACAGAGGTGGCTGAGTGGCCAATTCCAGCACTAGGGGTTTTAGCCAAAGAAATGCTGGTATGTGCTGGGAATTCAGCTGATTACTGGCTAATGAATCAGCCTCTCCAGAGCCTCAGGTAAATGGGATGTCTACATTGCAGCGGTGCATTGTGAAGAGACACCTGAGATCACAATTTCTCTATTTTTAACAACAAAAAAGTAAAACCAGAGTAAACACCAAGCAAAGATTAAAAAAAGAATCCAGTAATACGTCATTATTTTTACCACCCTAAGCCGACAGCATGCTCACAGAGCAACTCACAGTGATTATTACCTTCTGCAAATTAAACCATAAAAATCCTGACTTTGTGGGACAGTTACACCTCCACTTGTTCTGCGATAGAACAGGGAAAGAGAGGCTGATCATACCTCTCCTGATAGGACCTAAGTAAGGGCAGGATTTTGGGGGAGTGTTTCATTTTTTGGCTTGGCTTTTCATAATACATTGGTGCTTACAGTGCTGACTTGCCTGATTATCATTATTGAATCTCTAAGTAGTAACAATGCAGTATCCTCAAACACTTTAAAAGGCACTTTCACAGTGCACAACATGATTTTCCATTTTATATTCTAGCTTAATTAAAATAGGCTGTCAGCACAACAGCTGCAGAGAAGCAGGTGGAGGTTGGTGCTTGAGAAGAGGCTCTAAAGCAGGTATTGCCTTTCAAGGGACTTTGACTGCAGCTACCCGCCCAGCCATCTTTCTGAGATTTATTCACTTTACTTAGAACTACTGAAGGCACCTCTGTCTTCCTGGGATGACTGTCCCGTGAGCAGTCATTCTTATCTTTTGAGACATGGCAAAGGGTTCTAGTGAAGCTTCTATTTCCATTTCTGGTTAAAGCATGCCACGGGCAGAGCCTTCATGCACTCTGCAGGAGACTTGGGCTCCAAGCTCTCTGCCTGGTTTGGAGGCACATATCTGTACTTCAGCACTGCGTCTACCACTCTGTTCAGCCAGCGCTGAGAACCCCTGTTGGACTGATCCAGTGGCAAGAAGATGGAAAGTAAATTTAGTTCCTGGATCTCAGGCTAGTCTGGATGTCCAAGCCAAAATAAAGTTCAAATAAAAGTGAAGCCAAGCTGCTCTGCCTGATCAAGGCTGAGCAGGACTTGTTTTGGAAACTTTAAGAAAGAAGAGGTATGACATCTGCAGAATTTGGGTACCTCTGTCTGGCAATAAGACTATAATTATGGTTTAAAATACCCAAACTCCTCTTCAGAAAGACAGTTCAGAAAGATAGTTGGGAATGACCTTGGCCCCTACACACCTTGCAGGAAACTATGACCACTGCTTTTCTGAATCAGGCCTGTAGTAAGCTAAATGAGCTAAATAAAGGCAGGTGAAAGTCACATCAGCTATACTAATGAGAGCTTGAAAAACTCCATTAAAATATTTCACATTATAGTAAATCACATACTAATGGTTAGCAGCAAAATCAAATCACTCTAGCTATTACACAGATCAGCAAGTCAAGTAGTAAAAAAGAGAAAGTGGCATGCTAAAATCCTTGCAAAAGTTGTACTCTGCATCTTCATGACCTCTGCAAGAGCCACAGATGCAGGGCTGAGCTGCTGCTTTCTCTGCAAAGTGCTCTCTGCTGATGGTCAGATTGCCCTATTGATCTCTATTGTTCTCGGACAAGTTTTGCCATTTCAAACCAAAGGTGTTTTGTTTGTTTGTTTGTTTGTTTGTATTAAAGGAAACATAGGTGTCTGTTTTACGATTCTTCAGTACAGTCACCAATTACCTAAAGCACTTAGGAATGTTTCCTTTCTGGTAGCAACAACTTTCGTTTTGTAATATTCGCTGCAAAACAAGAAGCTTTACCCCCCTCTGTGTTATTGCACAAAGCAAAAGAGGAGTTGTCTGTGCCAAAGAGGAATAATCTCATTCCACCGAGCACCCCAGGCCAGCCAGGTGCTCTGCTGCTTCAAGTGATGGACACATCCAGCAGAGTCGCGCTCATGGCAGAGCTGGTGGACTCCACGGGGAAGAAGAGATTTTGCCACCCTTCCAGCAAGCAACAGTTTGGCTGATGCACATGAGCCACCTATCCCCACCCTGCCCTTTGCATCGTCCCCAGAAACCTACACGAAGCAGAAGGGTGCCGGTGCTGCGGGACCCAACCCTCTCCCTCCCTCCGCACCGCACCCAGACCTGCAGCCTTCAACCCCCGCTCCCCAAAACTGCAACCTCCTCGCCCCGACCCCAAAACTCCATTTCTGCTTGCTCTCCCGGGGCAGAGCCGGGGGATGCCCCGCATCCCTGCTGCGCCTCCCAGCTGCTGAATGACAGCCGGGCAGGTGGCCCCCAGTGGAGGGGAACGAGCACGGATCTGTGTGTGTGGGGAGAGGGACCCAATGCACTTTCCCTCCCCCCCACCCCCACCCCCCCCACCCCTTTCCTCGGAGGCAAAGCGCGGCGCAAAGTGGCGGGGGTCCCGCGGGGGCCGCCTGGTACCTGCCGGGGAGCCGGAGCGGCTGCGAGGTGCGGGGTGAGCCCGGTGCGGGGCCGGGGCCGGTGGCTGGGTTTTGGGAGGCGTTGCGAGAAAGTCGAGCTCCTCCCCGGCGGCGCCGGCGGCGACGGAGGGTCTCGCTCCTTCTGCGCCGAGTGTCAGACTTTCCCCTGGCTTCCCTTCCTCCATCCCCGCCACCCCTTTCCACTCCCTCGCACGCACATGCACACCCCTCCAGCAAATGGGCTGCTTGGCGTGCGTGTGTGTGTGTGTGTGGCTGTGTGTGCGTGTGGGTGTGTGTCAGCCAACCCAGCCTCACACCCACTGCTGCTGCTCCCGGAGCCGGGCACAGCCCCGGTCACCGGGAGGTATTCGGGGAGGCATTTTGCTCCGTGAAAAGCAGCTCAGCGCACCCACGGACACGGCAGCAGCATGCCCACTGCGCTGAGATCGGGCACACGAGGCCCCTGCACTCGTGGCACTTTCCCCTGGTCCACAGACCTTGCCTGCTCTTGCAGGATCCCCTGTGTGTTTGCAACAGGAGCATCTCTCCCTAATATTACATGCGCCCTGCACAGGTGCTGGTCCAGATTACAAAGTCTAAAGCAGCCTCAGGTCCTCACCTTATTCGCATGGCACGTTGCTGCCAGGGAAAGTGACTCGGTGGTAGACTGGGCGTTAAAAAAAAAAAAAAAAAAAAAGGCAAGCTTGCCACACTCTCTGATAAGGAGAAAAGAGCTGGGCAGTGGCCCAGTGCTAGGGTTTGGTGCACGTTTATGGGAAGCCCATGTGCAAAGCTGCCAGGGATACATTTGCTTTCGCATTTATTTTTGTTTGCCCATGGAATGTGCTACATCAGTGGTTCTCCAGCTTTCGCATGCTGCACACCACTTCCTAAGAGAGAAATTCTCTCCTGGACTAACCCACTCCCACACCAAACCCTTCTCCCCAACACATTTCCTTCTGTGGCTGCCCAAGGAAGAGCCTTTCTGCCCACAGGCTGAGAGCCATTCAACACATGGCACAGATAGTATCAGACCCTTCCAGACATGACACACTGCGGCTCTGTCAAAAACTGCATTTCCTTTAGTGAAGAGCTCAGATTGAAAGTCTTCAGCTGGTGACTCAGTTGCAGAACAGACCCCAACTGTTGCTCCCATGAAATAACAGCAGAATCAAAGAAGTCCAGAGGAATATATTGGAGTTTCCACCGCATTACCCATGGCATCAGGACTTCATCCTCACCTACTATTCATGTCAGATGGGTGGTCTCGGTGTAGTGTAGAATCTAAATATCTTTTTAAAAAAATCATCAAAAGCTGGTTTTACGTGTTTTTATCTATTTTTTTTTTTTAACAGTTTGTTACTACAGTACCAACCTGTTGTTTTTGTAAGTTCTGTACACAGAGATACACAGACTCTGCTTGTCTACATGTGCCTCATATGCCCACAAAATAAATGGAGCAATTCAAAGACAGGTTGTTCCATAGCTGCCTTTGATTACTGCTGTTTTAAGGCCTCCAAAAGGGAGGCCTGATTCAATTCCTGTTTTTCCCATTTCATTACATTGTCATCAACAAAACTTTCCACAGGTTTAACCCCTAGATTTGATAAAATTATCATTGTGATAGGTAGGATGCAGTTCAGAGCAGAGTTTGTTTTAAATTCCTATGGAATAATTATTGCATTTCACCTTGTTTCTAGATCCTGACTGACTATCACAGGCACTTTTTTATTAACTTCTTTTTTACACCAAAGGAGTTCGGCAAAGAGAAAATGAGAAGCAGGTTGATGGAAAGAAAATCCCTGTTGATTTTTGTAGCATTCAATAAACAACATAATTGAACTTTGATGTGTTCTGAAAGCATAAATCCTGGTTAAAAAAAAAAAAAAAAAAAAAAAAAAAAGGTATGAAATATACTGCTTGCTTCATATACTGGAGATATTTCAGACTCAAGTGAAAAAGAAATCAGTGTGAATGTCCCCTTCACTCATTTGTTGAAGGTGTTTGCAGTTTCTCTGAAGTGTAAAAAAACTTTTTTGGAAATAGTTTTATTTTAAGAGCTGCTTTTCCTTCTTGCAGATCATAAAAACACATATTCTTAGTGGAATAAATAGCAGAAAATTCATCGTTCAAGAGTTATACAAAAGAATTTGGGAAATAATTAAGCTCTTAATTTATTGAAACGGAAGAAACCAAGAAAAAGATGCCCTCTTGTGGCTATTTGCTGAATGAAAACGGAAAGAAAAATTTCTGTGCAGAGAGCACGATATGAGCATGCCTTTTTATTCTATTATTAAGGCTGTACAACAAGGTTACACAAAGTCATACCATGGACACAGGCTGAGGAGACATTCACCATCTGAACAATGTCATTTTAAATGATTAGTTAATACAGTTCTTGGCATTGTATTTTAAATCACTATTCAGAAAATCCTAATATAGGTAAGTACAGCAATATTGGGAAACTCTGAGTGACCTTTTTGACCAGGGCTGTATCTGCCCCTTACAGGGTGTTAGAAGTGCCCTGAAAGTTATAGGAATTTCTGCCAAATTTACCAAAATTAGCTAAAGTTTTTATAGGAAGAGAAAAGTTCTTTACAATATTTTGAAGATGTGAAGATTATAATGATGGCAATGATGTTTACATTATTTGTCCTACCAAAGGGACAATTGGGTGGAAGATGTGTTCAACAGGTTCTTACAAATGTGAAATTGAAAACTGTGTTTTCTCTCTCACTTTCTTTTTCTCTTTCTTTCATAACTATTTGAGGCTCCCCTAAGACCAAATTCCACACCCAGTGCCCTGGGCAACTGTTCAGATTTCCTGTAAGGCTGAGTGGCTCATAAAAGAGCAGAAGTTGAACATCAGATATCTCCCTTTTCCTTCTCTCATTGAACAGTAGTACAAACATGAATTAAGAGACCAAATGGATATTTAGAAAATAATTAAATTTAGGAAGAGTGGTAAGTTGTTTTTGTTAATTTCTATTCCCTTCTTTTTCTGCTTGATCATAAGTTTGAACACTGTCCAGTTACTGTAATGTCAAACTGGCATATTGCAGAGAAAACAGTTTTCATCTAAGAAAATTGCCAAAGCAGATACATGGTCTCCTAGTAAAGGCTTCAGGAGAAAGCGTGACACAGCATGCTGCCACACTGTAGGCATTTATTGTTATGCTGGGTGCTGTACGCCTGCAAACAGTGATAGGAATTTCTGTAGCACTGCACAATGCTTTAAATTATTATTGCTTACATTTGTTAAATTTGATAAAAAACAAAAACAAAACAAAACAAAAAAAACCACTAAATTGCATTTAGTGAATCTCTTCTGATTGAACTTCTATGCATTTGGTGTCTTTGAGGTCCTTCATGGGAAGATCCTGTCACTCATGTCCAAATATATACATTTGGAAGTTGTGATCTTCTGAAAGTCTTCATTCTCTACTAACAAGACCAAGAAATAGGCTGTTCATTTAAAAACCTGGATGTCCTGAAAGTATTCTCAGATCAAGATGCATAGATGGAAATACAAAATATGGAACATCTTTACCTGGCATGTATAATAAAGTCAGTGGGAAAAAAAAGAAAAAGAAAAAGTAAAAGAAAAAAAAAAAAAAAGGACCTGATGTATTTATCAGGTGGATTATGAACTTGTGTGGTAAAGGAGGTGCTTCATATGCCAGCCAGCTCCACCTGCAAGCAGAGAATACTGTAGAAAGATGGAGTAGGTGGTCAATCAGATGAGGGCAGAACCTACTTCTTCCACTCAACTTCAGGCACCCATATTTGTTACTCAGCCACCAAATGTCTCCTTGGGGAGGACTAGGTCACTAAGCACCTACATCAGGAGTAGGCATTTGGGCAAGCTGGGTCCTCCACTTACAATACAGTCGAATTCAGACTTCAGCATTGTCCAAAAATCTGTATCAATGTTTTCTGAAGACACCAGGCATATTACCACTGACAATAATGTATCTTCTGCTGATTGATGGAGGGGGCTATGTAACGGATATATATATATATATATATATATATATATATAATATAGAATAGAGTTATTAAAGAGAGGTATTAAATAGAGTTATTAAAAGACAGATGTTTAAAAAAGTTGTTAAGAAACCAAATGGTATTATAAAGGCACTGAACTGCCACCTTGCAGTCCACCAGAAGGTAAAGGCTTTTCTCATTTTCTTTCTGTATTTCAGAATTTTGCCTTGCAAAGTAGGAACAGACAGAGTTTGCACATTGATTTGTGCTGCTTCAGTTAGGCTCACTGGGGGTTCCAGAGCAACACAAGGCACTTGTCCCGCTCTACTTTCTTTGTTTTGTTTGTTTTTATTTTATTTTGTTTTGTTTTGTTTCTACCCAATCATCCCAAGTTCTGCCTTATTTAAAGCATTGAGAACAAGATGCAGTCAAAGCAGAGGTCAAGACTCTTTCAGGTTTGTGAAAAAGCTCAGCAAGCAGTGAAGATTCTCTCAGGAGAAATTCTACTGCAGGTTAGAGTGGATAAAAGAGGGCTTCTCTGGATTCTACTGATCTCAAATAAGAGCAGGTTTCACTTAGTTCATTGCTATAAAATGTAAAAGATAATCCTGATTCCCTGAGTTGTTGTACCAAAAAAAAAAAAAAAAAAAAAAAAAAAAAAAAAGAGAGAGAGACAAAAGGAAACTGTTATAAAAGGTGTGAAAGGTGCATAGAAAAGTTTAAGATGTTACATAAAATCAGACAAAAGCTTCCTGAAATGATTAGGTAAGAGTAGAACATCCAGATTTGTCTTGCTGCCAAATTCCTGGATAATTCAAACCTTAATCATCTGATCTTAAATTACAGAACATGTTCAAACTCCATTGGAGTTCACTACATTTAACTTAGCCCAGCATGTTACAGACCTAGGTAGAAATTAAATAACATACATAGGTACTTTCTTGCCACTGTTTAGTCCCTGTCTTCTGAAGATCTGTAACCATCTAGTGAAGCACCTACAATTTCTACTGACTTCAGTCTAAACTTTGCTGCACAGCTCATGTGGGATCTGGACCAAACATGGTGAAAAGAATATAAACTTTTCTACAGATCATGGTTTCTATAAAATAAATACTATGACTAGAAAAAAGATTACTCTATTTCCATGTGTCCTGGTTTGGAAAGGAAAGCAACTGCTGAGGTCCTGCAGTGCTATGTATTTTATGAGTCAGACAAGAAATTCATTTCCATTAAAAATTAACTGAAGCTCATTTTCCCACTTTATAAAAATTGTATTTCTCTTATAT